TAAAAGTAAAACACACAAAAAGACAACCATGTACTAAATGTGAAAAGGATAAATTAATAACTAAATTCTAAAAATGTAATTTTCTGTAGATAATTAATAATAAGTATATCTTCAAATAATGTTAACTAAATTAGCCCTAAAATAATATTTTTTATGTCAAAATAACCTTATAACAATGGATATATCAATGATATAATTTATGTTGAAATAATTCCTACGGAAATTTCAACGTTTCTATTGGATTTATAGGTGGAATGTAATGATTCCAACGACCATTTTGTGATTTGTATAAATACTGGAATCATTTCAACAGAAATTCTAACGTTTCCATAAGAGTTTTAGGTGGGATGTGATGATTCCAACAACTATGTTTTTAACGATTTTTTTTAACGTTGGAATATGCAATTCCATTGATATTTTGATTTCCATCTATATTTTAACAGTCGGAAAAATCTACTGTTGGAATTTTCATAATCGCCAACAAAAATTCCAAAGAAAAAACTCATTCCAACGGATTAGTTTTGTTGGAAATTCCATTTGAATCCATTGAAAATTTTCAACGAAAATAATAGCAATTGAATGTCCATTGAAATTGTCGTTTAAATTCCATTGAAATATATTTTCGTTGGAATTTTGTGTTGCAATTTCATAATTTTCTTTAGTGCGTATTTGGTAATGATAGGTAATAAATAGCATTAAAAAAATATTTTTTTACATTCAATATGAATGTCTATTTGTAGATTATCAAAAAAAATTGATTTTAACTCATAAGATATGTACAAAATCTGGACAAAAGAATACGTATTCATAAACTAATATAAAAGGAGAACATTTTTCTCACAATATATTTCTAAGAAATAGAATTCTCACCAAGATTTCCCAAAATACNAACTTAAAAAATATGACGTTGTGTGATAATTAGATGATACTTAAAGTTTTTAATTATTTGGACATACATGGCATAGAAACAAAAAGTGGGCTACTAATATAAATTGACTTCATTTTTACCTACAATGTTAAAAAAAATTTAAACTTTACTCGGGCTACAGCCCAGGTGGCTTTTAATGTACCTCCGCCCCTGCCGACAGAGACGACTTGGGGCACTCATTACCGACCTGAGATGACGTAGAGAACACCAGGAGATGAAAACCGCAGCCAACGTGAAGTTTCGGAGCTGTTTTAGCCTCCCAGACTCACACGAGTCGTGTGACGTAAGACACGGCTCATGTCGCTCCGACGGGTTGTGAAACCCGCTCTCGGCATTGACACACGATTCGTGTGTCCTATGACACGAGTCGTGTGACCCTGGGCGCATTCCATACGGGTTTGACGCGTTTTTCCTATTTTTTCGGCTTTTTCGACCTATTTCGACTAGGACTCGACCCCGATTATTTAAGAGACACTAGAGCACGATTTTGGGGAGTCTTGGACATATTTTTCAAATCTTTGGAGACTTTTGGAGGCTAGAAACACGAGCAAGACGAGGGAAAAAGTCGGGAAGAAGAGATCGACGGAGCCAAGCTTTTTTTTTTTTTTTTATCTTTTCCTCTTTCGAACTCAATGTTTTATATCTATTTTTCTTATTTTGAAAGCATGTTTCTAGGCTAGATTTATATTAGATTCTAGGATTTGTTAATACTCGGATTAATTTATAATTTAGTTTTATTTCTTTCATTCCAGTTTATCTTTCGTTTATAAATTTCTTGTGCTTATTATTATTATGTGAGTAGATGGCCACTATGAATGCATACTTGTGACCGATTTGAGACCGAGAGAAGATAATTGATTGATAGAATTGGGAGATTGATAACGTAAGAGAATAAACAGACCGAGAGGTTGATAGGACCTTACGAGAGATCGAAATTTAGGAACTTATGGGAATTAGTTGTTCATCTTGAGACCGAGAGGAGATAGATAACAATTAATATCTACGATTTAACTTGTTCGAGAGAAAGGTTTGAAACCAATTTAGCGATTATCTCCACGATTGGTAAAATTAAATAAGGTTTACTTGAATATAAACGTTTCATGAATTAATTCTGAGGAACGTTTAGCCTAGAATCTATCGTTTGTATCTTGTTTATTTTTATTTCTTAGATAAATTAGTTTTTAGTTTAATTTTTTAGTTTATAATCATCATCCAAAATTGCTAATCTAGATAATATTTAATCGTCACTATTTTAGTACTTAATAATTTAACTACAATTTCGCCACTACCTATAGCTACTCCGTACACTTGTGGATAGTGAAAATAATTAGCGAATAATAGTGTATTAGGTGTATTTTTTTAGATGGTATACGTATATGAATAAAAAAGATATAACAACAATATAGAGATATGCATCTCATCAAGATAACGGTGCAGTACTGTATGTGGGAATAACTAACGAGAACTGAAGATTAAGGCAATGGCTTTAATTAATAGTTAGTTTTTTTCACAAATATTAGCACTATACATTTTCTCCGCCTACTTTATAAAATGATCACATAATTAGCTTATTGTCCCTCTAAAGATTGGTAAATCTCTAGATTAAATCCTATATATTATCTTCAATCAACACATGTAATTAAACTCCAAATAGCACAAAAGATATAATATCTTTATAATTACTTACCACTCTCTCAATTCAAGAAAGTATTCAAGACCTAATATTGAAATCATTTCTCAAATTATGAACAATATTTCCTATCATATAAGCGGTGGCCATTTGTTATACATGAAATAAAACAGAATATTTGGATAGAACTCAAAAGCAAACGGTTAATCTATACTAATATAAAAGGGTTGTTGGAAAAATACATAAATAGCAACTTTGACTTTTTAATTGTTTAACTTACTATTATAAGAAATGTTTTTAAAAATACATAAGATTAGGGAAAATAAATAAGAGCAAATCAATTTCATATACTATTTTTTAAGGAAAAAATGAGTGCATATTTTAAAAATGGATGTTACCTTATCCTTTTTTTTTTCTTAATTAACCACTTTTCCAATCATTTGGTGAATAAATTTCAAATTAATTTTCTTGGCAAAATTATTGGTGCATCTTTTCCAAGGTTTGTTGAACGATCTCATTTCCTACACAATTTTGGCAAATTCTGATTTTCACTGCACTTTCAAAATAATATACTTATCTATTACATAGAAAACTCGATTTTCAAAATGAGATTAGATTTTTAGTGAATAATTCCGATAATATTTATTTGGTAAAAACGCGTGAATATACCATAATTATCTGTATTTTTGGTAACATCATATTCGTGTTTTCGTCAAAAAAAATATTTAACAAAATTTGTAATTTTGGAGCAAATATTTTATTTTGAAACATCCATAACATACATTTTATGACATTCAATTTACTATTAAGAATAATTTCAACTCAAATAACGCATCAATACAATCTAAACTGAAAATGTACAATAATATGAAAAATAATTTGATATGGAAGCGCATCAATACAACCAAAATATAGAAAAATTGATATTTATTTTACATGGCAATATATCATTCCAATATTCACCATAAGTTAATGAGAATATGAAAAAATATTATCAACTATACTTATCTATTATTTAATGAGAAATTTTAATTTATAAATATTAATAAATATTTCTTACCCGTACATCCCACGAGATTCGTACTAGTTTTAATAAATCATAAAAAATCATAACTTATTAATCTACTCACAAGTCCTTAAATCAAATAACCCAGAAATCGTACACGAAATCAATTACGGAGACATATTAGAAACAACATGATAAATAAAAGTTCAAAGAAAAGAAGAACTAACAACTAGGAATCTCGTTGATCTTTCGATCTTGTTGACTCCTCCGTACTTGTTGACTCCTCCGTACATGTATTTTCTTTGATTCCCAATTGTCTCACTGTGTGTTTTAAGCAATGTTCTGAAAACCGAACCGGTCGTCAAACCGGTCAAGCTACTGGTTCAATGGTTCACTGGTCCGACCAGTGGTTGAATCGGTATTTAATTTATTAATATTTATAAATATTTCATAATTGTTTAAGTATTAAATTACCTATACAAAACATTATAAATCATCAAAATAGAAGTTCCTATATTAGTTTAACTAAGAAATACAATAAAGGCCTTATTTGGTAATCAGCGGTTAGCGGATTGCATTAGCTGTTTTGACCAGCAAATTGCATTAGCTGTTTTGACCAGCTGATTGTGTTAGCGGTTTGTAAAAGAGTGTTTGGTAAAATTAGCTATTTTGATTAGCAGTTAATATGTACAATTACTTATAAGGACACTCATATAGTTCTTTTTTTATGTTTTGGGTATAATTATTTTAGAAAATAAAAATCATTAATGCATTTAATATATAGCAAAAAATAATAATACAATAACACAAATAACAAATAAACATCAAATAAGTTTATTGAAATATATTTTATAGTTTTTTTGTTATGTAGCACAAGGAACAACCATTATAATGATTGTCGGTCCAAAATAAATGCATTCGCTTAAATATGTGTTGTGAGTCTTGTGATATGAGCCAATCATTATTTTCCTTTTTTTTTTTTGCCTGCTATTAAGTAACAGCATATAAGTTATTTATTTTCCCAAAACCTATTGTCAAACGCTGCAAAGTAAAGCGTTTATGATTTCGACGTTTTGATTGAAAAAGCTATTTAAAAAAGCCATCTTACCAAACATAAAATTTAGCTGTTAGCTAAGGTCAAACAGCTAAAATGGTTGAAACCGCTAAAAGCTAAAGAAAAAGCTATTTACCAAACACAGCCAAAGTCTCCATGTATTATTCAATTCATTAATACAAAATAAAAACATATATATATTTAATTATTTATATTAGAAGTTGAAAAGGTATACAAAAGTCATCTTTTTTTTTTTTCCACAATCAACAAAGAAAATTCATTAACTCAATACAACAGTACATAGACTAACCAAATGGTTAAAACATCACTAGCCCCCTTACAACACATAAATGAGGGCTAGTTAGAGGAACCAGAAAATCTAATGTTCCTGCAAGGCCATTTTGGCCATAGTACAAACTTCATTCATCTTATGCTTATTAAAAGAGAAAGAAATAGAATCAAAAGTGAACATTAAGTATTGGATATCCTCTAGAACAGTAGATCCTAATAGCTTTTTCCTTGGTTGCACTGTTAGTAGTGAGACCATAGCTTCATCAGGAGTTATGCAATGAACTTGGGACCAACCAAGTTTGAGAATTTTCAGCAGTCCCCATCTCATGGTCCATAACTTAGCTGCTGATAGGTCACCATTGAACATTAAGGCGTCTGTCCACTCTTGAAAAATCTCTCCCTCCTTCCAAACTCTACAACCCATAGCAAGTTGTCCCTTTGAAGAGAGCCAGGCACTGACTGCAAAAAGTTGTAGACCTACCTGTATGGAAAAGCTCTCATCATTCAGCCTCCTCTTTCCCATAGTGTTATCCATGCTAGACCTGTTATGTGAGTTAGCAGACTGGAACTCAAGCCAATCAGATTTTGCTCCTAACACAACAGTCCTAGCATCCTTCCATTTTTTACTAAATAACCAAGAGCATCTTGTCTTCCAGAGCCACCATAACATGTACACTGATAGGCTTATCCTGTCTTCCATGATCAGAGCATCTTTAGCATTACAGAGGTGCTCCCACCACCCTTTAAAGCTGCAATCAGTGTTTTGTGTGTGACTCCAGTGGATTCCAAGGGATTTCCAACATTCTTGGGCTCTGGAACAAGAGAAGAAGATATGCTCTACACGGCCTGTGACACCTATACGGCTATACCTATAAAGAGCACATAAGCTTTGCAGAAAAACACAAACAGAAATTATTGAGAAAAAAAAATCCCAAATTATGTTCTCCAACTTCAACAACAGCTACACCAAAATCTGACTCGCCAGAATCGCGGGTGTTCCTTGGGAATTCGCTTTCGAATTTTTCAGTGAGATTTATCTGGAGTAGCGATATGAGAATTGGGGATTCTTTGAGAGAGAAGGCCGGAGACGGTGTCGTTACGCAAGAGGATGGTGGCGAACTCGATTTTGCTTTCGCAGGGAGAGAATCCAGGATGCCGTCGCCGGTCTCCGTGGCGAGATCTTCTGCAACGGCCAGATCCGGGCTTCTGCAACAATGAATTTGATGGCGAGTTTGACGCGGATTCTTCATGAACAAGGCAATTTATGGGAGCCGTTGACTCGTTCCAACCAGATCCGGTTTACTGGTTCAACCGATTTTCCACCAGTTCAGACGGTTATAACCCAGTTTTGGATGGCAACGACTCTTGTCATCGAACCGGACCGGTATAAAGGCCGGTTCCCGGTTGAACTGGTTGAACCGGTCGGTCCGGTCTGGTTTTCAGAACATTGGTTTTAAGGCTTACCTTTTTGATTGTTGGTGAATGGACTTCACATGGGCTCCTTCAACTCGAACGACCTCCATACCTGCAAGAACCCAACACTGGGAAGGGTCCCGGCGTCGGGCCTCCGATGCCTAAGTCAGCACTTGCTCCAAATCCAGAGTGCAAAATGAGAGTGTAGTAATGAATGAAGAGAGAATGAGTTAATGAGATACCTTAGCTCTCTTTTATAGGGCGAGTGTACCTTAGGGTCCAAGTTGGGCTTGACCAATACCATCATGCCACGTGTCTTAGCCCATGTGTAGCTTATTCTCCAATATATTCGTTTTATCCATTAAAACCAGTCTAGTATAATATCTCATATCATCTCGGAATGCTGGCTTTTACTGTACCTGCTAATACTCATTTTGATAGAGTAATATGCCTCTTCGAGTTGTTTCCTTCCACCTACCACTGAGGCTATAATTTGAATAAATCCTCGATCACCAAATAATCACCAAAACCTTCAAATGAGCATCAGGACTCAAATGAACACCGAATGACCCCTAAGGTCAAAAACCGAAAGACCCACCTCTGCGGTCGAATACCGAGAGACCTACCACTGAGGTCGAAAACTGAAAGACCTGTCAATGAAGTCGAGAACCGAATGACCTACCACTGAGGTCGACCACTGAAAGCCGAATGACCACTGAGGTCAAAAATCGAGTGACTGCCGATGAGGTTGAAAACTGAGTGACATTCGATGAAATCGAAAACCAAATGCCACCAATGAGGTCAAAAATAGAAAATCGAATGACCACTGAGGCCAAAAATCGAAAATTGAATGACCATTGAGGTCGAAAACTGAGTGACCGCCGATGAGGTCGAAAACTGAAAACCGAGTGACCAGTGAGGTTGAAAACCGAAAATCGAATGACCACTGAGAGGTCGAAAACCGAGTGACCGTCGATGAGGTTGATAACTGAGTGATCCGCCGTTGAGGTCGAAATTCGAATGACCACTCCCTGAAGTCTTGAATTTAAAAATTTTAACTTATGCCTTGCTGTTTTTTGATCACCATGTTCAAGCTCCCTTCGCTCGAATGTAAACCTTTTCAACCACCTCGTCTTGTTGCCCTTCAGTTCAAAATTTAAAATTCAACCTTGCTGGCTATCCTCTCGAAAACCAAATGTCCTGACGCCACTCTCAGGTCCAGAAACCGAATTCGACAAAACCAAAATAAATAAAACCATCCACCTGAATAACCTGACTCCGTGAACTGCTCCAAGTGAACTCCCTCGACCTACCACCGAGGTTGAAAAATATTCGACAAAACCAAACTCAAGTAAAAACCATCGACCTGCCACCGAGGTCTAGAAATAAACTCCCTGAGTTGCTCGAAATGAACTTCCTCAACCTGCCACTGAGGTCAAAAAATAAATTCGACAAAACCAAATCAGATAAAAATCATCGACCAATCACCGAGGTCTGCAAATAAACTCCCTGAGTTGCTTGATGGGTCAAAAAATGTGCACGTTTTACATATTTAATAGTATATTCCTATACGCTTAATTTATTCGCACATCTATATTTTTCAACTTATTTATTATTTGGATGAATTCGTGTACTTTGATATTTTATTATCTATTTTCAGCATTTTTGGGACGATTTCTGATTGCACGAAGATGTGTGGATGCACGAAGAAGGATGAAGAAGTTTTTCCAGCAGAGTATGGGATGTCTCGTACTGCCCCGTACTGACCCAACAGCACCCCATATTCAGACGTCCAACAGGCCCAAGCATATACTTATTTTCGTGCACTCCATGTAATATGGGCCAGGAAATTAATACAATTGGGGCAGGGATTTTGTGTTAAAAGGAAATGTGGGCCATAAGAACTAATTAGCCCAATATCATTTGGAAATTATTTGAGGCTTTGAGGAATTGAGTTTGGAAGCAGAGGATTTATTTGCCTTACGTAAAGTTATATACACACACAGGCCCTAGGATATGAATTAATTTTTCCCTAAAACAGAAATATAGACACACAGGCCCTAGGATATAAATTAATTTTTCCCAAAAAGAGATATACACACACGCAACCACAGAAAAGAGAAAAAGGGCGTACTAACAGAACAAAGGGGAAGAAAGAGCCGGCGGATACGAGAGGAACCCGATCAACACGCGGAGGGAGGCTGCCCCCGTACACGAAAGGGGATATTCTCATTCTCTTTCTTTTATTATTTACTATGTAAGGCTAGGTTTTTATTTCTAGTTTCGGGAAAGTTGAACCCTACAACTTGACGATGTTTGATTAATTTACGTGGTTGATTATTGAGTTATCTTATTGGAATTATTTGTGTTATTTTGACTGAGCAACCATGATTTGTTGAGTCTTATTTAGATTGATCACCTAGGTTAGGCTTTTCATGTCTATACCTAGAGTTAGACCTGCAATCCGTAATTGTTGTTGGATTTAATTTATAAGAGCAACCGGAAGACGGTAACTATCGGGGATAACATGGCCTATTTAAGTGAACGAACGCGGTTAAGTTCACTACTTAGTCTAATCTATTTTTCTAATTCGTAAAGCGGCTAATTGTATTAAATCTTGAAAATGTTTTTCTGGACTGTACAAGAAGTCAGGTTTAATCGTGGAGCATCTCGCGATTAAATTAAAATTAAGGAAAAATTCGGGTAACAGACCGTGTCATTGCCTAGGGCTAGTAATTCCATAAGATTGCGAGACTTCATACCAAAGTTGATTAGACAAGTCGGTCGATGGTGTAGATGGAACCGTGAACTAAAAAGTTCTCTTTATTTATTTATTTTTATTTTTATTTTCATTGTTTAGATTTATTTGCTTTATAAGGATTTTAGTTAATTTAGTTATTAAATTAAATCCCCCCTTTTATTGCTTTTATAATTTCAATTAATACGAGTAAATTCACATTTTAATATACACTCATCGTGGGATCGACCTTTGCTCGCCGCTACTACTAGTTAGTAGAGGTTAGTCGAGAAAAAATATAAATTATAATTTTGCCGCGTTACGACGTGCGGTCAAATTTTGGCGTCGTTGTCGGGGAGTGGCGTTATTGAATTGTGATTTTTGAGTATTAATTGTTTTTTTTTATGATTTTATTTTTATCATCTTTT